CGCGGAGGCGGCCTGGAGGATTTTAGGGGTCACCCGGGAGAGTCAATGCTCGACTTTTCTAGAGGGCAGCGCAGATGAGGGTGCAGTCTGCTCAAAGACGCGCCCGGGGGCGGGGGAGGCGGTCCGTCCAGCCCTCCCCCCCCAACCCCGCAAGCCCTGCACCGGAGGGGCGGGCGCCGGCGCCCCGGGAGGCCACCACCTTGTGGGACGGCTGCCGCGTCTCAATTGCCCGCAGGTCCTTGTCCAGCTCCGCACTCAGCTTGGCCAGCTCTCTCTCCAGCAGGACCTGCGGGGGGTCGGGGGTGAGGGGGGCAGTGCACAGAGTTGGGGCCAGGGGAGGGGGCGCTGGTCAAAGCTCACTCGGGAGAAGTGCAGGACAAAGCACACCGCGCTGGGTAAAGGGCAGGCTCAAGGCTAAGAACCAGGGCAGACCTCCGCCTCCCTGCCTTGGCCCTGCGGGAGGGGTCCAGGGAGTCGGGAGGGCACCCCTGCTGTCACAGCCTCTCCCTAGCCCCTCCTTCTGGGCCAGCTCACCCCTCACTTACACCGGTGGCATCGCCTTAGTACTTAAGACAGTGCCTCAGTACCTCTCAGTCTCCCCCACCCCCTCCAGCCTTTGCCTCGGCTCTTCCCGACCCCGCCCACACGCAGAGACCAGCTCCACCTCCAAGAATACTTCCTAACCATTCCGCCCACACCCACCACGCCCTTCTCTGCTCTTGTGTTGGTCAACACACATTTATTAATCCAGCACAGGTTTCTGAGTGTCTGCTGTATGCCAGGCACTGTTCTAGGCTAGAAACTATGGAGGACACTAGAGGGTCAGGATTTTAGGGGCCCCCAGGAAGAGTCAATACCCGACTTCTCTAGAGGGCAGCGCAGATGGGGTGAAGTCTGCCCATCTTGCCAGGTCACACAGCCTTTGTGGCCTTTGACAGTGATCACCTGGCCCAGCATCACCCAGAACCTCCCTCATTCCTCTGTCTCCTTTCCCACCCCTCACCCCTGCATTACTCACCTCAATGGGCTGGGCTGGTGTCTCAACAGGGTCATCCACCAGTGGTTTCTTGGGCTAAGGGTGGGAAGGGCAAGTCAGAGGGCATGAACCCACTTTCTAAAATGCCTAGTTGAGAGGCTGCACCCACTTACCTTCTGCCCAGTCTCTAGTTCTTGCAGAAACTGATTCCAAGAGTCTTCCGTCCAGATGTTGTCTGCCTTCTCTTTGCGTCTGTGTACCTACATGGAGGTGGGTGGGCACCAGGACACTGGTCAGCTCAGAAAACACACTCTTGGGTGATGTTCCCACCCCTGTAGAAAGGGCTGATTGTGCAGCTTCAGCAGAGGGGCCTGGCCAGAGAGCATGATGTTTGGGGGAGGGGGGAGGGGGGGAGGAGGATGTTGGGCCAGCTACCTGCTTTGCACGGTGCACCGAAGAGGAGGATGTTCCCAGTTTAGTGTTGAAGGTGCTTCTAGGAAACTCTAAGGAGTTCCAATTTCTTCTAAAGAAAGAAAAGGAGATCTCCTCAGTTCCTCTGGAGAAACTGCTGCAACTGTGAGCACACAGCTGCACCCCTGCCCACCTGCTCCAGGCAGCCAAAGCAGACTTAAATCAGTAAAGTCCCTGAGTTCACATCCCACCTCCACCACTCAGTGTGTGACCTGGCAAGTTAGTCAACTCTGGAGCTCCAAGTTCAATACCATAGTGGAAAGGATCCCCACCATCAGCAGGGTGTGGCGAGGCTTGGGTGAGGAAGAGGTGAGGCCCAGGAGGAGGCTGACACACACATCTGCTCTGAGTGGCAGCCCCCTTCCTGGTGAGCTCTCCCGCAGTGGCACTCAGTCTGGGCCCATGGCCGTGGCTCTGGACGTTTGTACAGTTTTGAAGAAGCTGGTCTCTCCCACCACCACTGTTGAGTGCCCTTGCACCCAGCCCAAGCGCATCAGACTACATCTTATTCAAGGAGAACATGAGACCAGGGAGGAAGAGCCCCAGAAAGCCGTCTCTGCTCCCTCAGGGCGTTGATGCAGTGAAGTCACTGTTGAGTGCCCTTGCACCCAGCCCAAGCGCATCAGACTACATCTTATTCAAGGAGAACATGCGACCAGGGAGGAAGAGCCCCAGAAAGCCGTCTCTGCTCCCTCAGGGCGTTGATGCAGTGAAGTCTCCAGTGAGGCCGGCACACGCCATGGCCCCCTCCAGCACACCTCTCCTGGCGGGCTGGCTGATGCCCGCTTCTGCTGCCGCTGAAGTTTCCTCCAGATGGAGCAGCTCAGCAAGCTTATCAGACTGACTAATGGAAGAGTCAGGACCTGGTGACTCTGGAGAGTCAGTCACTGGTGGCAGTGACTCTCTTCTCTGTTTTAGTGATAATGTTAGTAGGACTAGTGATAAGAGGCAGCGGTTGTAATCATAGTTAGCCTGCACTGTGATGTTTGTGGAGCTTGGCTATGCCTTGATCCTACAACCACCCATGATCCCTGTTAACAGATGGGAACACTGAGGCTCATCTGTTGAAGCTGCCCGAGGTCGCAGGGCTAGTGGCAACGTGTCAACCTGAACCCGGCTGAAGCCAAATCTCAAGCTCTTAGCCTCCCTGTAACTGATAATGTCCAGAGCCACAAGCCAGTTATGGCTCTGCTGATGAGGGGATCTCTCAAATTTCACTCTGCAAACTAAGCTCCTGGTTCCCAAGGTCGTACTGACTCCTCCAGGCCCCAGCAGCCAAGGCTGGACCTATGTGGACTACACAGGCTGTTTCCTTCACCTGGGGGTGGGGGGAGGAAGTCCTCTCTCAGGGGCATCTGGGAAGAAGCTTAGGGCCTTTATTCCTCTCAGGCCTCCAAGTGGATGGCCCACAAGTTAAAGCCTCCCTACTCCCCATCCCATATGATCTGGGGATCTTTGGGGTGCTGAGTTCCACTGCCAGTCACAAGTGTCACAGATGTTCCTGACCAGGAATGGGTGTCTTCCTGCCTACCACCCAGCGCTAGCAGGGAGGGGAGGCTCTGTGGTAGTGGGGATGCTGCCAAGTGACAGGGGCTGTGGGAGGAGCCACACAGAACTCCCCACCTCTCAGGCAGCTCTGGTTGTGGCCACCAGGGGGTGCCAGTTCTCACAAAGGAAGACAGCACCCAGTCTCAGACCTGCCCCTTCCCCACCAAGGCTCACCCACTCAGAGAGGGCTGGTCTGGCCTGGGGACAGGTTTTTGCTGGAGCCCTGGATGCCTTGAGTCTGCTGATGTAGCACTGGTGGAGCCCCCTGAAATGGAAGAAGACATGCAGTGCAGGTGCGGGGGGGAGGGGGGCGGAGAAGCAGGGAGGTTGAGGGTGCCTGGATGATCACTTTTGGAAGTTCTGGCAGCCACCTCCACCCACACTCCTGGGTGGCTCCGGGGAACAGGGCTGGTGCTCCTGCCCACTAAATATGGGCTTTGCACAAAGCACTTTGCACATTTTACTATTTCTTCAAAACAACTCTAGGGTAGCTGTATCCCCATTTTATAGATGAGGCTAGAAACCCAGAGAAGCCATGGTCAGGGCTGGCATTCTCTGCACAGCAAGCTGAGGTTCTCACTGAAACTCGGCAGAAATGAGCTATAAAAATACAACTAAAACACGCAGGGAACCCCAAAGCCAAGCATGGCTGCAGGTGGCGCAGATCCCGGGCACCTCCTCACCTTTGGGCGGTTCCTCAAAGGTCCAGTCCAGTTGCAGGTCTGCAGAAGCAGAAGGAACAAGGTCAGGGAAGTGGAGCCCTTTTGAGGGCTGCCTAGGCCGCTGTTCCCAGCCTCCCTCCTGCTCAGAGCAGGGGCCAAGGGGTGAGTCAGGGCCTCAAGAATGTCCCCAGGGAGGGAAGGAATCAGGAGGGCAGTTCTCAGGAGGACCTGCCATACCTCTGGCTGACTTAGGGGCTGAGGGAGCCAACCCAACCCGGCAACAGACTTGCCCAAACCCTCCTGCTCCTCTGTGCCTGCGTTCCCAGACGCACCCTCTCCCTGACCTTTGCAGACTTGCCCACACCATGTCAGACTGGTGACACTCTACTTCCTGTTCTTCCTGTTTCTTTTTCTGCACCCTCTCCTAAATGCTTGTACTTCCCCACAGCCCAAGCCCACTCCTTAAGTACCTATGACTCTCCGGGGCCTCCTAGGAGAAGCAACTGACCAGAGACCACCCTCTGACTCCCTTGGCATGCGGACATGCCACAGCGGCTCAGCTTAGATGAAACCAGAATGCCCCTGGACATCTCACACCCTCCTCCGGCTCCTGGATTTTTCTGGTGTCCTTTGCAGCAAACAGGAGGAACTCACTGTGTGCACCGCCCTTCTTGCTAAGCAGGCTTCCAGCCCTATCCTGTCGCCCCCGCTGCTCTCATCAAAGACCCTAGTGACCTTCATGTCACCAAGTTCAATGGCCAATAGTATCTGACCATCAGTAGCATTTGTCACCGTGGGTGACTTCCTCCTTTTTAAATCCCTTTTTCACTTGGCTTCAGGGAGACCACTTGGCTTCCCTCCACCTCCAGAGCTGCACCATCTCGGTCTCCTGTCCCGGTTCCTGCTCATCTCTTGAACCTCTGAACTTTCAATTGCCTCAGTGCTGAATCCTTGGAGTCTTTCTCTCCATCTCACTAGGTGGTTTGTGTAGTCCTCCAGCTTTAAAAATTCCATCTAGGGGCCTCCCTGGTGGCACGAGGGGTTAAGTCTCAGCACTATAAAGCTATCTGCAGCCACTGCAGCATGAGTTCAACCCCCAGCCAGGGAGGTGACCCACGTGGCACAGCAGACCTCTCCTGTCTCGCCTGCTGCTCCCCTCAGCAGTACATTTCAGTAGATCTGCCTATTCTGCTCCCCACTCAGTCTCTGATGAATCCTCTCACTCCCTGCACCGCTGGTCTGCACCCCAACTCCTGTATGCATAAATAAATATTTTTTAAAAGAGAGATAATTAAAATAAAGAATGCCATCTAGCTCAGGGATATGCAACCCTGTGCATATTAGAGTTGCTGAGGGAGCCTTAAATAAAAGTCTCTGCATCCAGTTATTTCCATCTGCAGCTTCAGCCTCACCCTGGACTATAGACGTGGATATTAACTGCCTACTTGACCTCTCCACTTGGAGGATGCATGTCCAAAACTGAATGCCCCTTAGACTAGCATTTGCGAGTTGGAACTAGTCTTCAACTTGCTCACATTTAAAGTCATCCTGGCCACCTGTCTCTCATGTCACATCCAGTCCCTCGGCAGACACCCAGGTCTGTGTCGCTGGAGTCCCACCACACCCATTGCTCTGCCCTGGTCTGAGACCCTGACATCACTAGGCTAAATTAAACCAGGCCTCCTCACTGGTCCTCTGCCCCCACCCTGCCCCACCACCTCTTCCCTACTTGCAGCCAGCATGAGCCTTTGCAGCCCTCACTTGCCAGAGCATGTCTGCTCCTCTCAAAACCACCCAGTGGGTCCTCAATCTCACAGAAGAATATCCAGTCTTTATAATGGCCCTAAAGGCCCACCGTGACCTGGTCACTTGTGGCTCCATCTCGCCCCTCAGATGCCTCTCATTCACTCTTGTCCAGTCTCTCCTTGCTGCCCCAAAGCGACAGTGCCAGGCCTGCTTGGCCTCTGGCGCCCCCTGCTGGAAGGCTCTGCCCCTGATCCCGCAGGGCTAACTCCTGCCCTTACCTCCAGGCTCCGGTGTCACCACAGGGCCCTCCCTGGACAGCTGGCTGAGGGAGCTGCCTCCTTGCACAGGCAATCCCTGGCCTTTTCTTCCCCAGCGCTAACATCACCAGCCACATAAAACACTGATTTGTTCCTTCTGTGTCCCTGCCCTAGAATGGATGCCTCACCTGGATAGGGGCATTCTTCTTTATTCTGTTTTATCTCTTGTAAAACAGATTAGCGTTCAGCACACAGATAAGTGCTCCATAACAGGTCAAGGGATTGGCAAATAGATGACATCATGACTTCCCAGCACCCTTAGGGGTCCAGGGGGCAGTGCCACTCCCCAGTAAAGGAGGAGATATGGAGGCTCCTCCCTATGGCTTATTCTAGGGAACACTCTCCCCAAGCAGGTAAGCGCCCTCGCCCTTCCTTAAGCCCCACAGGTTGAGCTCACTCTGGCAGAGAGAGTGTCCTGGGAAGGTGTATCACCTGGAATTTTCCGGTGGATCTGCTGGAACATTCTCCGGTACCAGTCCTTGGGGCTGTCAACGCTCTGGGATTAGAGAAGACAAAATCAGGCCACCTTCGGGCCCTCCCTGGTGGCGCAGCGGGTTGAAGCGCAGCACTGGGAAGCTTAAGTCACTTCCGCATGAGTTCAATCCCCGCCTGCCCCGGAGGTGACCACTGGCACAGCAGACCTCTCCTGACCCGCCCCCTGCTCCCCTCAGCAGTGTACTTCATCCACCTGCCTGTTCTGCACCCCACTCTGTCTCTGGTGAATCCTCTCACCCTCCGCATCTCTGGCCTGTACCCCAGTTCTGTATGAATAAATAAATAAATCTTAAAAAAAAAAAATCAGGCCACCTTCCCAGAGTTGAGCCACAGAAGCTTTTCCTTAACTCCTTAACTGAGTCCTTCCTGTGGTCATCCTTGAAGTCTCAGTGGGTTGACTGCTGTGCTAATCTTAATTACAGAACTTTATAAGCACTCAATAGACAAATAAGAAGTGGAAGGGTCTCTCCTGGTATTACTCCCTAGACTGTGAGATACAGGGTGCTTTACATTCTCTTTGCTTTTCTATATTTCTAACGTTTCAACAAAGAACATGTGTTTCTATGCAATGAAACTAAAAGCAATAATGCAGCTGGGGGTGGTATTTCACATTCCTCGCCTCACCTAACAGTCCCAGGAGGCAGGAGGGAGGTGTTACCACCTTCTGCCTCAGAGGAGGAGGTGAGACGCTAGAGGCACACAGCTAATTCAAGGGCAGACAAGGGGGTGGGAGACAGGCAGGGCCCACCAAGCCTGGCAGCCAGACCCTCGCACGCCTGCCACAGTGGCCCCAGGAACTCTGCAACTTAGAAGGGGCCCTGCAGGGCCAGTGCTTACAGTAGTGGTTCACCATCCTTGAGAACTTGAGGGGCATTCTAGAATCCCTCCCCCAGAACGCAGACACATAAGAGTGCCCATAACTTTAAAAGACTCAGCACTCCCTAAACCCACTGTGATTAAATCCCTGCGTTAGTCTGGAATGGTTTGGGTAAAGGCTCCCACTTCAATTAACAGGAGCAGAGCTCAGCATGTCCCTGGGTCCCAGTGACCATGGCTCCCCAGCCCTGGACTCACAGATCGGGGGGCAATTGGCATGCCGCTCTCATCCACTGGCCCGATGCCCTCATACTTGATCCAGCGCTTGTCCTGACGTTTACTGTCCTTGGTCCACGTGGCTGACCAGTTCTGGGCTTGCTGGGAAACAGGGGTCTTCTGGCTCCCAGATGGGCGGCTCCCAGGGCCTGGCCAGGTCTGATACCAAGCAGGATCTGTGGGGTTGTATCCAAGTGAGCATTAGCCAGGCGCTGAGGCCTACCTGACCTTGCCCGTCCACTCGCTCCTCACAACATTGATCCCTGTGGGTTCAAAAGTTTCAACATCTCCTTGTTTGTTTAGAGTCGATGACTCAGACTCTACAAACCTCCCCACAGGCCTCTGTTTATTTTTTAGTTAAAATGAATAAAAATGGATTTTGTCTTGAGAAATCTGTGCCATCCCCCCACCCACACGCCTTTCCTAAAGTCACCCTTGAGCCTGGGAATCATTACTTGCAGAGAGGCGGCAGGGTATGGCAGAAGGACGCTTGGCATGGAGGGAGCGGACCTGATTCAGATCCCGCTCTACAACCTCTGGCTATGTGACATGGTGCCCACAAATCAACCTCTCAGTGCCCAGTCACCGCCGGCACAAAACTGAGATCTCATGTGTGTGCCCGAGCCCAGCACGGTGCCTGACACACAGCGAAGGCTCTGTCAGGGCCACTCATTCACAGACACGGCTCCTGTGTCCTCGGCTTCCCCAGGCCTGCCGCTCCCTGCTATGTAGCAGCATAAGGGCTTGCAGGCAGGTGGGCAGTGACTCTCAGCTCCATCTCTGCGCCTGCACAGTTCGGGCTGCGTCCTTGCTGGGAAGGCTCAAAAATCCTTACCTGAGCAGGGTATCAAGGAATTAAACAAAATAAGGCTTTAAAGTGTCTGGCATGTTCTACATGCTCAATAATTATTTGTTAGCTGAATACACTCAAAGGGAATGCCCGATAAAGGATGCACCCTTGTCAAGACTGCCGAAGCCCATGGCTGGGTGACCCACAGGCGACCAGCAGCTGATGGGGTCTCAGGCCGCCTCTCCAACCTTCTGCTGGGCTGGTGAGTCCAGGCAGGGCAGCTCTTAGGGCCCAGCATGGGCTTCAGGCGCACTCCTGGAGCCAATATACACTCGCATTCCCTGGCCCCTGAAGGCTTCCTTCCCCTGGCACTGGGTAGGAGAAGGATGACAGTGGGGGGAGAAGGCTGTGTCTCCCACAGCAGTTCTCACTCTCACAGGCCAGCAAGGGAGGGTCAGCTAGCTGAGCTGGAGGCAGGGGCCCGAAAGACCCATCCCTTTCCCATGGTGCTAATACGGCATGCCAGAAGGCAGGCCCACCCCCACATAAGGCTCCTGGAGCAGGTCTTCTGGAGCAGACCCACCTGGGTGTCTGGAAGCATCTCTCCTCTCTGGGAAGTACCCATTGCACACGGTCCTGGGCGCAGGGTCGTGGAACTGGAAATTAAGGGTGTTGGAGCCACCGTTCCGGATCACAGGCACCTGTGTGGAGGGGCCAGGAGCAGCAGCTCAGGCCCAGAAGATTCCACAGAAGGAGAGCAGGGGTGGCTACCAGAACAGCCCACACCCCCTGGCGAGGGGTCCAAGGTCATCCTGATCCTCTCGTGGGGGGGTGGGGGGGAACCAGCAAGGCCCTTTAGCAAGACCCACTGACTGCCCCTTCCTGTTTCCTTCCTCTAATCCTCTGGCTCCCCCAACTGTCCCACCAGTCCCCACAGCACCCCCTTCACCACCTCACTCACCCGTGTGCCCCGGGAGGAGGACCCTATGTGGGCCTGGAGGTGGCGGGGAATGAAGTCATCCAGGCTGAGCCCCGCAGGGAGGCTGCAGGGTGGGGCCTGCATGCTTGGGTCAAGGTTGGAGGGCTCCTTTGAAAGTCTTCTGTGGGGAAGAGAGTAGGGGAACCTGCTGGGCCTGGGCCGCCTGTGCCCTCTGGGCTTGGCGACAACCTCCAGAGATGGAGGAGGGGATGGCTGTGGGTGGGGGCCAGGGCCAGCGGGGTGGGTGCTCCAGGACCCAGGAAGCAGGACACTGCGGGACCCGCCTGCAGGCTGCCTGCACGGATCCCAGAGGCACAATGGGCTGCTTGTTAGGCCTCGGGCAGGCGCTCCGGGTGGGAGTGGGGGAGGGAGAGGCCAGCCGAGGAGGGGGAGGCTGGCCAGGAGCAGGTCTGCTGGACAAAGCCTCGGGCACGCAGGCCTACTGGCCAGCCCCTCTGGGGCTCTCACTGCACAGTGTGGCCAGCTCCCCCAGAAGGGAACTGGGGCAGCTGGCAGGGGAGGGTGTGGACACAGAGACTTTGTTTCAGTTCTCCCTGCCTCCCCCAGACTGTGAGCCTCTGTATGTCTGTGGGCACAGGCGCTTACTCAGGCCAGGAAGGAGGACCCTAGATCAGCAAGGCCAAATGCCAACTGTGTGGCAGGGCTCCTTAGAGGGAGAGCGGTAGCCACTGCCAGGCAGCAGTGGCCACTCCTTGAGCGCTCAAAGCAGCATCAGCTCCCTTGTCTGGCCCCCCTCACCACACTGAAGCCGTAAAGAGCTCAGGGTGCCCATGGGGCGGAGGTGGGGCGCAGAGCAGTGGGTTTGCACAAAATTGGACTTTTCATGGAGGGGTGGTGCCAGTGTCTGCCCCCCCCAACACCCCACTTTCTTTAACACCTCCAGTCCAGTTTTTAAATGATCTTCTCTGAGATCACCCCACCCAACTGGCCAGTTGGCTTTTTGCCCCACCCGAACTTTAGGTCACGGCAAGGGGCTCCAGGTGTCCAGAGATGGAAGTGTTTGGCCTGCCCAGCAGGGTATTTTTCCCCAGAGAACCCATCTCTCCTACCTGCGCTATTTGGAGGGTAGGCACAGGCTGGCTGTGGAGGTGCCGGTGTTAGGTATAAGCGGGAGGGTCATGTGACAGCTGGGGGGCTGTGGGTGCAGGCGTCAGCTGATGGGTGGGGTGTGTGCAGTCGCCCATCATATGAGCCACACAAGAGTTCTGGGGACTCGAGGGGATGAAGGCACAATAGAGGGCTGTGATTAGTCCTCTCCTTTACCCAGTTCCTGATAAGGCCCTGGGGGGCTGGAGGGTACAGACAAAGCTGGGGGCAGCCCTCTGTGCAGGCTCTGAGTGAGAATTCCTTCAGGCCTTCCAATGACCTCCTGTGGACAGCTCTTTCATGCCCACCACTGGCTGTGGGGAGAGTGGAGGGTTGAGGCTGGGGGAAGGATTGCTCACAGCTGGATTCAATTAGGGCTCCTACAAAAAAGCAAAACATGCAGCCACACCCAGTTCCTGCTGCTCTTCCTCCCATGAAGGGGAAATTGAGGCAGGGGAGAGTGGTGGCATAGGTCAGGGGAGGCTGGTTCCTAGCACCAACCCCTCCCCACCCAGCTGTCTGTTTGAGGCCAAGATGCCTGGTCAGCATGAGCAGTCCCAATCATCAGCTGACCAGGGCCTCAAGGTCCCACCCACCCTGCTATGTTGGAGGGGGAGGAGTGGGCCTGTCCTCTATAGGAGGAGAGCAGGAGGCACCCGGGTCCCCCACACCACCCGCTTTGCAGGGGTTGCTAATTCTTGGCGGCCTATCCTGCCCTCTCCCCAGATGCTGCTCCCTTCAGTGTCTTCCTACTGGGGCACACGGGGTGGGTGGGGAAGGATGCACTGGGTTTTTCTCCTGGCAATCCTGCTAGAAGACATGGAGGAGGGCTTCTCACAGGGAGGCCAGGGGAATTGGTCCCACATCTGGAAGAGGGCAGTGTGTGACAGGAAATCTGGGGAGTTCTCCATAGTTCTGCTGGCCTTCTTCACCCCTGCAGCTCCACAGGGTGCAGTAATTCTGCTCTAGTAGGCAGGCTCTATCGGACCCCCAAGCATTGCCCTGACCTTGGTGCGGCGCCCCGGGCCCAGACACTTTTCCTGGCATTTTCCAGCTACGAGTCCACGTGGGCATGGGCAGGTTTCTCTCAGGTTTCACCTTTTTTGAGATGAAGAGGCTACTCCCACCTCTTTCACCCTAGCATCTGGAACGAAGACCCCAGGGGAAGAAGAGGCTTTCTGCCTTCCCGCCTCCACCCGTCGCCCTCTCCCTGGAGACACCTACCTTCCCCGGCGAGCAGGTGGCGCGGACCGAGGACGCCCGGGAGGGCAAGAGCATCTCTGCCCGGCTCCTGCCTGGCTCGGCGGCGGCGGGTCCTCGCGGAGGGAGGGCAGGGAGAAGTCGGGGCTAAGCCGTCCGCCCTCGTGACCCGGCCAAGACCTGCTCTGTCTGCTGGGCTGGGCGCCGGCGGAGGAAGAGGGACCGACGGGGCCAGGGGGCGCGCGCTGGGAGGGCCGTGCGCGGCGGCGAG